GAAGAAATATCATCGATATTTGACGGTTGGTTTTAACTACCAACAATAAAGGAGATCGGTTGCCTTGTTGGGTTGGGGGAGGGGGGGTTGGGGGTTGATCGAAAAAAATGTAATTGTCGCAAAACAAATAAGTCATCAAACTTTATGAAATCAACGATCTGGTCATTGTGGCTCAGTTGCTTGATTTTACACTGTTTGATGACTAATTTGTCGTACTTCCTTCTGCACCTGTGTTCTTCTTGTAAGACTTGTACACACCAAACCTCTTTGGTATACACTTATTTGACTTACGTACAATGCAAGAGCATTGTGTTTAAGGCCCCTATCAACAGTAATAGGTCATTTAACCCTATCTGTACGTCGTGTTTTACTATCGTATCCATACGACGTGGGGAACTCTGGGCCCCCAATTGCCAAATAGGAAATTTACTCGTTAATCAGATCCGTACGCTTTGCATAGCAGTCTCTTAAAATGATTTTTTGAGAAATACAGAAAGTTTCAAAGAAATCTTCGTACTAGAAGTATTCTAGAATATGAAGAATACAAACCCTGTGGTACAAAATAACCCCAGGGCGTACGAATAGGGTTAAGAGGCGGTTCAACTCCTATGTGCCTCCACCGACACTGTTCACTTTCACAAAAATAATACATTAATTACTATCGAGCGCGAGAAATGTTTGGGTCATAATGTTGCTCTCGTAATTTTTTCTTATTGATATTTCCTTATAGTCCATCAACCGTTTGCCCTACTCTACACATTATTGACTGACAATGTTGCCATTATTTGAGTGAGCTCTAGGCACATCTTATGTATTGCGTTTGAGTGTAAAACTTTTGAAGAAATTAACAAAGTAGAGTTGGGCGATATACGGGCTCCGATCGTAATAAAATATGACTCCATTTTGTTAACTTTCCTTTTATTACCTTCAGACCGCCAGTGGAATGTTTAACATAATAACATTCTGCAGTGGGACACTGGGGTGCAAAACGAGGAGTTTCCTAACAGATCTATGATGCTCCCATATTTCTGTCGAAGTAACAACACACACAAATTAATGTCCAATGTTTGACAAACTGATTATCTCCAGTATGTGAGTCTAAGACTGAAGGCCGCTATTTCTGTTTTATTGTAACGTTCTCTTCCTTATATTATAGAGGTGGCTCATAGAGAACACTAAAACCGAACTTGGTAGATTCATGCAGCACGTTGCAAATATTCACGCAAAGAAGCCATTCACACACATACACACATGTACACACACATACACACACACACACACACACACACACACACACACACACACACACACACACA